TTTTTTTTTTTTTTTTTTTTTTTTTGATTGGGTTCAGAGAGAGAAGAGTGGTAGAAAAACAGGAGAGCTGCCTACTGCCCCCCTCCCCTGGGGGACGGAGCCCACAACCCGGGCATGTGCCCTGACCGGGAGGCAAACCTCCATCTCCTGGGTCCTAGGTCGACGCTCAACCGCTGAGCCACACTGCCAGGCAACAAGAGGCACTTCTGCCTCAAGGTTAAGTAGCTCAGCACAGGGACCTAGAATAACTGCATCTCACCACTGCCTCATATCTAGGCTGGCTTCAGCCTTCCTGAAAAGGAAGATCATGATAACCTGCAGCAGGGAAGAGATTCAGACGAAAGAACTCTCTCAGGTTAAGCTGTGTCAGCGCCTAAACGCACCTTTCCTTCCAGGTAACGTAACCACTAACCAGCTGTCTGCCAAGAGAAAGAGGAGAGAATAGTGTAATTCCTAGGTAAAGAAAGAAGGTCTTCTACTCTCTCAAAACTTGAAAGGTAGTAAAATTCAAAGTGTCTCCTGATTTGAAAATTTTCCAAATCCCGCATCTTCTTAATTTATTCAGAAAAACACTTAGGGTCTTCCTGCGACCAAACCTGCTTTGCCCCTGACGTGGACCCACGGTGACAGGCACATGCGGCGACGCAGTACTTCAAAGCAACATAGGACTGCAGCCGCGAGGTGCTCAGCGCCGGGTAGGGGACGCCTGAAACCCAAAAGGAGAAGTCAGGAATTCCAGGGTTGGGTGTGTCCACATTCCTCAGGAACACAACTGATTCAAGAGTATATTCATTTGGGACTTGCGAATCAATAAAAATCTATGTTTACATATACTGCAAAGAAGTGAACATTCTGATTCTTTAAAAAGGTCGAAAACGTTCTCGACTTCGAGAGAAGTGCGGCTTGGAAAAAAAATCACCTTAACTTAAAAAAAACAGTCATGAATAGAGGCTGAAGGTGTGCACGGGAAGGTGGGGGCGGCGGAGCAAGGGGGAGACCGGAGAGAGCCGAGCGCAGCTCCAGGCGCAGGGCCGTCCCCACGTGGGCCTGCGGCCGCGGTCGGCCTGCCTGCGCCCCTGGGGAGCTCGCGCACAAACCCCGGGGGGCCTGGGGCGGCGAGGCTCCTGGGGAGGGAGAGTGAACGGGAAGGACGCTGTTCTCGGGAGTCCTGGAGCGAGGACGGCGTCCTAACAGAGAAGGCAGTGTTTCCTCCCAGGGCTGCAAGCTTCTCCACCTGTTTCCTCCAGCCCCCACTCAGTCAGTCCCAGCCTCGGGGCACATCGAGCTGGGGTCCACCAGCTGCGGGAGACCCAAGGGCTGCGCAGTCCACCTGCGATCCAGGCAGCGAGTTTTCTTGGTCTTGCCAGTCGTAGGCTCCTGGCCCCACGCGTGTTGCTTGCAGGTCCAACCCCGCCTGACAGCCTCTTTCACCCCTATCTTGCCGCCTTCCGGCCGTGGAGCAGTCAGGGGCTCCAGGACCCTGCGGCCAGATGGTTATCCCCACCCCACCCGCTGAAGGGGTAGGGGGTAGG